ATCTATCTATCTATCTATCTATCTATCTATCTATCTATCTATCTATCTATCTATCATCTATCTATCTCATCTATGTGGTGGCGCAGTGGTTAGAGTGCAGTACTGCAGGGCTACTTCTGCTTACTGCCGGTTGACTGCAGTTGTTGCAATTTAGCAGTTTGAGTCTCACCGGCTCACGGTGGACTCAGCCTTCCATCCTTCCGAGGTGGGTAAACTGAGGACCCAGATTGTTGAGGGGAGCAAAAAGGCTGACTCTGTAAATCGCTTAGAGAGGGCTGGAAAGCACTATAAAGCGGTATATAAGACTAAGTGGTACTGCTATTTTAGAAATTTAGAATTTTAGAAATGGAAAGGAGGAGAAACTTTCCTAACAGTCAGGACAATTAACCAGTGGAACAGCCTGCCCCATCACTGGAGGTCTTTAAGAAGAGACTGGAGAACCATTTGTCTGGAATGGTATTGTGCAGGGGGCTGGACTAGAAGACCTCCAAGTGTCCCTTCCAACTCTGTTATTCTATTAATTAATCAGTGGAACAGAAGTTGCCTCCAGAAGTGTGGGCTGGAGGTTTTTACCAAGAGACAGCCATTTGTCTGAAACGGTGTAGGGCCGTGATGGCGAAATTATGGCACATGTCCCGGAAGTGGCACGCAGAGCCACTTCTGCCAGTACGCGAGAGGTCACTTGGAAGAGCCCCACTGCGCATGTGCCCATGCCCACCAGCCAACTGATTGTGAGGTAACCGGCCTGCATGCGCAGGGGGAGATGCGCACGGGGGAGATGCGCACGCGTGCAGAGGCATACGGCGTGCGGAGGGGGTTTGAACACGCATGCGCAGAGGTGTGTGGTGCGGGTCACGTGCCCATACGCAGGGGCAGGGGGAGTCTCGCACGCATTGCATGACGGGTGCAGGTGCGCATGCGTGCAGTTTTTGGCATGCAACGTGGAAAAGGTTCTCCATCACAGGTGTAGGGTCTCCTGCTTAAGCAGGGGGCTGGACTAGAAGACCTCCAAAGTCCCTTCCAGCTCCTATTCTGATTCTGAAGTCCTGGCCCTTCTAGATTTGAGACCGCCATACAATCCTGTCCCACCCCGGTTTTCTCTTTTTAATTTATCTTGTGATTCTTTCCACCTCGTTCTGAAGCTTTGGTACTGAGAAGTGGATCTGGCACCACAGGTGAGGTTTGACTAACATATAATAAAAAATGCCTCTTAATTGTTAATTCGAACGACTTGGGGAGGGGGGGAAACCAGCCCATAGTTCTATTAATACCATTGTAAAGAAGAGGGGAGGTTTATCCACAGCAGCCACCTGTGAAAAAGGCACACCCAACTCGGCTGGCTGGTATATAACATCGCAGCCTCAGCTCACGAAAAGCCTCCATCTCCACCCTGGTTTAAAACCACCCACAGCAGCGTAGAAACATTGGGAGAATCAGATGGAGGACGAATTTCTCAAAGGACACCCGAGGCCTCTTCAAACCGTACCTTGCAATCAAAACACAGAGATTGCCTCAGCCACTGCCAAAGAAGGCTCCACCGCACTGTGCGCAAACAACAGATTGGCTTCCGGGGGCCCTCCTGGGATGCAAGGAGAAGCCAAGACAAATTCAAAGAAGTAAGTCCCTGTTCCAAATTCACCAGTCATCCCAATCTTGTTTACACTCCAAGGAACCCGGAAGGCCAGCGACACAATTATTGGGATATGGGAATCATTGAAAAAGGTTTTTTTTCTCATGCACCGTTTATTCGGTCCTTCTTTTGGGCTTCCTTTCGTTAACGATTCAATGAGATTATTTCCCCAATATTAGTCTGTGGAGATTATTAGTCATTCCCAGGTCACGGTTGCCCCAAAAGGTGCTTTTTTTTTTTTTTTCCCCGTCCCCAAGAGGCAACTGGACTTTCTGGTTTTTCTTTGAAGGCGTTTTTTTGGTTTCAGCCAACACAACATACGTCCCCGCTTCAAACCCAAGAATACACGAAGGCAGAAGCGTGTCCACCCCAGGGATAAAACACTCAGATGCACACTGAGCGACGTGGGTCTATGCAGGACAATACAGTGTGAGCCATGGGCAGATCTGGACGTTGGGGAAACAGAACAGCCACTTCACAAATGCTTGGTACAACATAGGAGAACAAACCCATCAAGGATGAGATTCAGCAGTCCATCTGCACTTAAAAGAGACAGGCCCCTCTTTTGAAGACAATAAAATCCACATTCTGGACAGAGAAGATTGCTGGTTTGAAAGAGAGGTCAAAGAGACATCTATGTCCAAACTGAACAGCCCTCCCTCAACAGGGGGGGGCGGGGAGAATACGGCATCATCTATCTCCAGTCTACAACAGGGTCCTTTCAGCAGTTCCAGGAAGGCTCCACACCCATTTGCACCCCTCAGGTGACCCTGAGGATACAGATTAAACCTCCAAGTGGCCTCAAGGACCCTCTAAAAGGATGCAAACGACCAGCTGTCTGCAAGGAATATAAATCCTTCCGTTCCTCCCACCATCCAGACAGAGGTCAAGAAGCTTCTTGGAGGAGTAAAATGTCTTCAAAGAAAAACCAGAAAGTCCAGTTGCTTTTTAGCAAAAGCACCTTTTCGGGGGACTCCGATATTAGTGTAACTGTTGTCACGGCAAATTGGCCACATGGTGAGTTGTCTTGCGTCGAGTTGGCTACGGCGAGTTGTGATAGACTCGCACAATTATAGATAGCCCTCGAGATACAAGGACCCTTGGATCCCAAGTTAGGAAAAAGAAAATAGAATAATAAAATAACAACCTATTAATAGAATAATAAAAAAAAAATTGACAACTAGAAATATAGAAAATGGTAGTTTTCTTTGTCCTCTCCCGAAACGGACTGCATCTGCTAAAGAACTGACCAAGTAAAGCAGTACGCAAAGCTTTGAGTCCTCTCTGCCCATAACTCTGTTATCTGGCCCACAACTGTTCCAAGCCACCCTCGGAACCAGCCACACCGGGGTGGTATTCTACCGGATTGGCCGAAGCAGTAGCTCTTCGGATCATCTGTGAGCCAACCGGTTTGACCCATGATCAGCTGCTGGGCCCGCTTTATTTCCTAGTTTTCAAGCTCAGCTGCTTCGCGCGACACAGTGGATTTTCCACACACCAGATGTTTAACATACAGGGAGAGCGCATGATTGCAGGATGAGGCTAGTAGCAAACTCTCTGTGCGCACGTGCAAAGCACGCCCACCAAGCCACACCCACAGAACCGGGAGTAAAAAAAAAAATGGAATCCCATCACTGAGCCACACCCACCCGTCTGTCCATCTCACAAGAGACCACCCACATCCTCAAGGAGAAGAAAGGGAAAGAGCGCTGGAGGCTCAGGCCTGGTAGATGGGTCTCCTCCTCTAGGCCCCATCGGTGGTCTGTTCCCACCTCGGTCCGCCAACCTGGAAGGCCAGGCCTCCAGGGCCACCAGCGATCGATCATCCGGGCCCAACTCACCGAGTTCCGTGGGCTTCAACAGTTCATCCAGGATAGTGTAGAAGGGAAGCTTCACCAACCGGACTTCGGGTTTCACCGGTTTGACCGGCAACCGTCCAAGTCCGTTTAAATACTTTCCGTAGAGCGAGGGATAGTCTATGTTGGGGGTCGTCGAAAGACCAGTCCTGGTTACCGCGCTGTTGCGGTCGTAAGACGAGTGGATGGAAAGGGTTTCGGAAGGAGGTCGGTGCTGTGGGGGCGGTGGGGGGAGCGGCTGCTGCTGGGCGGGTTGTCCCGGTTCGGAGATCTTGGCATATCGAGTCTCATAGATCTCTTTGATCTTCTTGAAGAGTTCCGGGCTGCAGTCGAACTGGACCAGTTGCAAAGCCCGAGTTACCAGTTCGTGTTTGAGTCCACTTTTGCTCCGGCCCACAAATCCGAGCAACATCTGCAAGTCAGAAACCCGGAAGCTCATCACCATGTTCTGCGAACGAGACGAGAGGACAGACAAGCCTTGATATCAAAAAAAGCATCCATCAGAAAAGGTTCGATCTAGCCCAAAGTCTCTACGACCAAAGACAAATTCCTCAGCCCCAGCTGCAAAATTTTAGATATATGGAAGTAGTTTTGACTAACAACAGTTCATGTAGTGACCCTTTGAGGTTGCAACGGCACGGAAAAAAGTGACTTATGTCCGTTCTTCATACTGTTGCAGCATCCCAACAGTCATGTGATCAAAACTCAGAGGCTTGGCCACCAACATACGTATGTATGTATGTATGTATATGTATACACACAAGCATACATATACACACGTATACATTCAGACATAGACAATAACATGTTTCCCCGAAAATATGACCTACCCTGAAATTAAGTCCTAGCTTGATTTTTGCACATGCGCCCAATGTAAGCACTACCCCAAAATAAGCCCTAATTAAGATCCCGCCCACTCCAGAGTAGATGGATAAAAATTAAGGTAGGGGGATGGGGGACAGGTGGAGCTGCCCAACTACTTACCTTTGGACAGTTGTAGCCAGGCCTTGCACACCCCGACACCTGCCTTGCCGGCTCATTTCTTCTGCAGCCGGCAAGGCTGGCAAGGCTTTCCTGAAGGCCTCTGGAGCGGATAACAAAGCTCTGGATCGATCCAAAGCTCTCTTATCGGCTGCAGAGGCCTTCAGGAAAGTCTTGCTGGCTGTAGAAGTAGTTCCTGAAGGACTCTGACAGCGAAAAGGAGGCCAGGGGTGACGCATGCAAGTGAGGTTAGTCAGTGGATGACATCCCCCCCAAATAAGACCTGCTGCCTTTTTTGGTGGCCAAAAAAAATTCAAGACAAGGTCTTATTTTGGGGGAAACATAGTCAATAACCAGTATAGATAGACAGAGATAGATAACCAGTAGACAGAGATATAGATAACTCTTAACAGTTGCAATGTCCCACGGTCACCCAATCCCCTTTTGCATCCTTCTGACAAGCAAAGTCAATGGGGAAGCCGGATTCGCTTAACAACTTAAGAATTACAGCGATTCATTTAACAACCATGGCAAGAAAGGCTGTAAAATGAGATAAACCTCACTTAACAAATGTCTTCCCTATTAGACACGGTAGTTTTGGGCTGGATTACCAATATGATCGACTCAGTGAAGGCGGCCTCTGGCACATACGTCTTTGGAGTTTCTTCTTAATAATTACAAACTTTAATCTGAGTATCACACATACATACCAGCAGCAGATGTCCCTAGCCAAGGAGCCGAGAATTCAGGACTAGGCTCCTTTCAATAAAAATACGGGTACTTATTGTTCTATTGGTATATATGTATATATGTATGTATGTATGTATGTGTATATATATGTATGTGTATGTGTATGTATATGTATATGTGTATATGTGTATATATACATATACATATACATATTTGTGTTCATCCAGGCGGGTACTTATTCTTCTATTGGTATATGTGTGTGTATGTATGTGTGTGTGTGTGTGTGTGTGTGTGTGTACATACACACACACACACACACACACACATACCAATAGAAGAATAAGTACCCGCCTGGATGAACACAAAAATGCAGTAAAAAAGCTGGAAAACACTTCCTCACTAGTCCAACACATGAAAGCCACAGGTCATAGCATCGACTTCAATGGCACCAAAACCCTGGCCACTATGGAAAACCCCAGCCACAGAATTATCAGAGAAGCCATATAGATTGAAAAAAGATCTGAAAGCATGGATAGAAGAGATGACTCCACCAGACTGTCAATTATCTGAAAGCCTGCACTCTAAAACAAAACAAAAACTCCACACCACTAGCCAGGCAAACACCTGGGCACAAACAGATCCCCCCTGATACCTCCAGCTCAAACACACCCCAACCAGGCACCCAGATGAAACCCAGCTTCCTAACTAATGATAGCCATCCATTTACCCGGAGCCAAGCTGCACTAAAGGCCTCCAATAAAGTAACACAATGTTGCCAGCCAATCAAGACAAAAAAAAGCCACAAAACAGACAGAAGATATTAGAAACACCAATCAAGCAGAACACAGCAAACTCCAAGGCCAATAAACACAGACCAAGACTCCCAACCAATCAGGATAAAGAAAAAACCATTCTGGCACAGCAGTAGGCTAGCCCCAAATTTAAAACTGAAATGGCCGTGAAAGTCTGACTCAAGCCTGAAGATGATGAATGAGACTTCATCGAAACGTTGCCTAGATACTTCCAATCACAAAATTCCTGTGGCCATGCAAGGCACTGGCTAAGTGAATTTGATGATCTTTCTTGCCACAGTTGTTAAGTGAATCACTGCAGGTGCTAAGCGAGTCACACGGTCGTTAAACAAATCTGGTTTCCCCATTGGCTTTACTTATCAGATGGTCGCAAAAAGGGAACACTGCAACGGTCATAAATATGAACCCGTTGCCAAGTGTCTTGAATTTTAATCGGGGGACCCCCAGGGACGCTGCAACAGACATTAAGCGGGAAACATGATCACAAGCTCCTTTTGGTAACATCCACTTGTCACTAAATAGACTGTTGTAAGTCCAGGGCTATCTGTATTTTAGGAAGGACTCTGGCAAACTAGAAAGTGGCCGGAGAAGAGCCACTAAAACAATCAGGGAAACACAAGGAAGGGAAATTTAAAGGGCTGAGCACACCTGGGGAAGAGAAAATCGCAGAGGGACACCCTAGAACAGGGGGTTTCCATCCTTGGCAGCTTTAAAACTTGTGGACTTCAACTCCCAGAATTCCTCAGCTAGCAAAGCTGAGAAGGTTTAAGAAGTGGCAGCCAAGGTTGCTGGGTTGACGTCCCTCAACGCACTCAAACATCTTGCTGGCATTGAATCCAAACTGCTGCCCAGCTCTAATATATAATTCACGAGCGAGGCAACCACCATTTCTTCCACCTGGAAACATTCTCTGAATCATAGGGAATGTTCTCTTGGCTTCTTCTAGATCGGGGGGGGGGGGGGGGGGGGTCAAACTCAAGACCTGCGGGCTGGATCCAGCCCATGGGGTGGTTAGATCAGGCCCGCCAAGGGCCACCTCTGGAAACAGCAAAGAACCGGTCCGCGGTGCCTCCGCGAGTGAAAATGGAGCTTGGGGGGCGGCACGCAGGCTGCAAGAGGCCATCCTAGCTGAAAACGGGGCATGGCGGTAGAATGCGCAGCCCCTCCGCTGGGCTCCGTTTTCACTGAGGGCTACAAGAGGCCGTCGCGGCTGAAAACGGGGCCTGGGGGGGGGGGGAAGAGGGGAAGGAAGAAGAAAGGAGATGGAAGAGAGAACGAAAAAGAAAATGGACGGAAGGAAGGAAGGAAGGAAGGAAGGAAGGAAGGAAGGAAGGAAGGAAGGAAGGAAGGAAGGAAGGAAGGAAGGAAGGAAGATAATGAGAGTGAGGGAGGGTCTGAGGGAAGTCCTGCCTTAGCACTTGGTCATCACAGACGCCCCCGACACGAGTGAAGTCGACCTGGCCACGCCAATCCTGGCCACGCACCCCCTCCCTTGCCCGAGGTCAAACCCAACCCTGATGCGTCCCTCAATAAAATCAAGTTTGACACCCCTGCCCTAGACCATTTCAGACTAATGGTTGTCTAATGTCTTGTTAAAAACTTCCAGTGTTGGAGCAGCCACAACTTCTGGTGGCAGGTCATTCCACCGGTTAATTGTTCTCGCTGCCAGGAAGTTTCTGCTTAATTCCATCCCTTGTTCCTTCCTTGTCTTGCCTTCTGATGCTCTGAGGAAAATATTTGACGGCCCCCTCGTCTTTGGGGCAGCCCCTCAAATACTGGAACACTGCCATCAAGTCCCTCCCAAGTCCTTCTTGTCACTAGAAAAGCAGTGCTGGAATCAAGACTTCCAGCTTATCCAGATCCGGAATCTCCTTCCCCATTTCGAAAGTCATATGAATAAGATCTAGAGCAGGGGTGTCAAACTGGATTTCTTCAAGAGCCGGGTCAGCATTGTATTATATTTTTTAGGGCCGCGGAGACTTTTTTGGTATCCTAAGACAGTGCTAGCAGAATGAGAAGATCAGGGTTGGCCAAAGCGAACGCTTTGGCTCTACCCCTTCTACCAGTTTCCTGGGCAACTCTTAGCTTTAAAAAAAAAAACAGCTCTGCAAGCCAACGTCCTTCTGGCTCCTTTTCCCGTCCTTGCTTTTTCAAAATATCTCCCAAGGCAGAGGAGGCCTAAATAAATAAATAAGATTATTACTGCTGGACCACGGCAATGGATTCTTCTCCAGAATCTGTCCCCCTTTAAAAACCCACCATTGCAGGACAGAATCCTGGTTAAAACAAAAACACACGGAAACAAAATTCACACCCTCAGCAGAAGTTGTGCAATCTCCTAGGATGGAGGGGTCCCCAGGGTGGGATTCTCCCGGTTCGGTTGAACTCCTTGTTCCAATGATCAGCTGGCTACAAACTGGTTCGCTCCGATGAGCATGTGGAGTCTTAGTGGAGTCCTGGAGTCTTAGTGGACAACCAGCTAAATAAGAGCCAGCCGTGTGCAGCAGCAGCCCAAAAAGCCAATGCAATCCTAAATTGCATTAACAGAAGGATACAATAGAGATCAAGGGAGGTACTAATAGCATTCTATAAAGCCTTAGTAGGACCACACCTAGAGTACTGCATCCAGTTTTGCTCACCACACTATAAAAAAGATGTTGAGACTCTAGAAAAAGTGCAGAGCAACCAGGATGATGAGGGGACTGGAGGCTAAAGCATACGATGAACGGTTGCAGGAACTGGGCCTGGCTAGTCTAGGGAAGAGAAAGACCAGGGGAGATAGGATAGCAGTCTTCCAATATTTGAGGGGTTACCACAGAGAGGAGGAAGGGGTCAAGCTATATCAAGGCACCCGAAGGCCAGACAAGGAATAATGGATGGAAACTGACCAAGGAGAGATTCAACTTGGAAATAAGGAGGAATTTTCTGACAGTGAGAACAATCCACCCATGGAACAGAAGTTGCC